CCTTTTCTGCTCTTCCCCAGCTGTTTGGGGGCAACAGGGCCTCTGTGCAAAGCCCTGCTAAGTGATTTTGGTGTCAGGGCATGGTGGGGACCTGAGGCTTGGGAGGAAGGCGTGTGCAGCCGGGAGCTGGTGGCAACACGTATCCTAAAATTAGCTTTCTCCTTTCAACTCTTTCTGATCTGATCTAAAAACATGAAAAGGCTTGCAACCCCCTTGCATGTAAATCCAGTGATAGCTTCTAACACCACCACGAAAGGCAAAGCCTCTGTTTATTTAAGCATTGGGATTTAAAAAAAAAAAAAAAAGAAAAATACATCTGGGAGTAGAAGTCATTGGGTTATAAATGAGCTCTCGCCCCACCAAAGAAAAAAATAATAATTATAATAAAAATAATGGCACCATATTCTCTGATAAACCAGTGCCAGAAGAGCTCTTGGGGATCAAGTTTTGTCAGTCCCCAGCTTTTACCAATTTAAATTCTTGGCAGAGTATTAAAAAAAAAGTATAAGGTATTTGAAACTCCAGTCCCTCAGGTACTAAATCTAGCGTTTCCTGGCAATAGATGAATGTCGCTGGAGTGAAAACCTAGCACCACAGGACCATATCTCCATGGCTGTTCGTATTTATACTTAACAGACAAATATGTCATTCTTTCCGGATCCCTTTACAGGGCCAACTTTTTTTTCTCACATGTTACCCACCCCCTTGTGATAAAAATGAAGGCTGACCAAGCCCAGGACACAGACTTAGAGTTAGTGGGATGCTCTTTGGTACCAGAAACTATGTTTCCTTAAAACTGCTTAATTTCCTAAGCCACAGGTATAATAAAGAAGTAGGAACAAGTTTGAGACATGTGGAGCTCTGTGGAAATGGTGAACATGCACAGGATCGATGTAGCCTGGTGACATTCATTCCTCGGTCATTTCACATTTTCTTGTTCATTATAGGGTGATTGTCATGCACAGAGAGAGTTGAAGCTCAGATGGTTTTGCCAAAACTTGGCTTGACAAAGGCTGTCCAACTCTCTCTGAGCAGTTAGTTAAAGGATCCCTTTGTAAGTATCAAGGTCTACACCCCATTCAAAAATGATGGTTCATCCTTTCTACTCTGGGCTCCTATAATTTCACTCCATCACAAAGAGTTCTCTGGTCATCTTTCAGAATATCTTTTTTACTCTACTGCTTCTAATCAAGTTTCTTCTGGCTTCTCTCCCTTATCCTCTGGTAGTGGAGTGTAGTCTAGTTTGGAAATATCTCAGATGACTCATCTCCCTGAGTCTGTAGACCACATTTCATCTTCATCATATAACAAGAGAAGAGGACACACGTTTGTTGAACACCTCCTATGTTTGGGACACCGTGCTTAATCCTTACCCAATTTTAAACTTGGATGATGAAACTTAAAAACCTCATGGTGAAAGGAATGGTATTCTTAATAGTACCTTAAGGACTTTGAAACCCTAAGAAGCATTGCATAAAATACTGCAATATGACAAATCCATTTCTTTGTCCAATCTAGAGTTTCACATTTTTGCAAGTGAAAAATACATCCTTTAACTTTCAGGAAAAAAAAATGAGTTTTCAGTTAAAGTGTTAAGATATCTCAACCCTCTGTACTTCATAAAATATTTATATCATAACCTGAGGGACACAGGGATGTCTCAGCAGGAATGGAAAATAACTGGGGTGAGGATTTTCAATAAGATGTTGCTACGGGAACTTTCCACATCTCCTGTGAGTACCACTTAAGCTTTAGCCCATACAGCAGCCCTTCCTTAACCCAGGCTGATGCAATGCTACTCCACTGTCTAAGGCAACCTGAGAACCACAGCATCTTCTCACAACAGCAATGAGGTCAACTTTTCTCCTACTCCGAAATAAGGCAGCTGCCCAAGGCAGTCCCTTGCTTTCCGCCTTTTCTTTCTATTCCCTTTCTAGAGTTGCTCATCATGATCTCTACACTAATCTCTATGCCCTATGCTGACCTCTACTTAGAGTTTCAGTCCTGTGTGCCCAGCTGCTTGTGGGATATTGAAATATGATGGCCTCACCTCAAACTCGACATGCCCCCAAACAAACATTTTCCTCCCAGAGTTCTATATTTTAGCCAATGTCTCCAATTTTCCAATGACCTAATCTGAAATGCTAAAACCATCCCTACTCTCCTGTATTTCTTAATATTAGCAAAAGTTGCCATTTATTAACAATAGCTAACTTTAATTGGATTCTTCCTATATGCCATGTGCTTTGCCTCATTTGAGTTCATAGTCTTATTGAACCCTCATCACAATTCTATGAAATGGATGTAATTATTATGGTGATGATTATTCCCATTTTATAGATGACAAACAAGCTCAGAGATGGGAGGTGATTGGCCCCCGGTCACTCTACTGTGTGTGGAGCTACACCGGGAGGGTTTCAATTAGATGTTCGTCTGTCCTTCTCCAGAGCTCACACACACACAACTACTCCACACTCTGTACCAACCAGGCAGGCTCCCATCAGTTCTTCCTAAGAAATGTTTCTTGAAGTCATCAGCCCTGCTCTATTCTCAGTCCACCTCGCTCCTCACCGCCTTTCTCCTGGACTGGTTTCCCTGGCACCATGATTTCCCTGGATTCATCCAGAGCTCACCTTGTGAAGATGCGCGTTGCCATACTGAGCAAGAACTGAGCTCCAGTGGTTCTCCAGGACAGCGGCCTTACTCAATCTGTGTTCCTGGAGTACTCCACACACACCCTTGCTGGAGGGGTACAAGTCTGCTCTGTGCCAGAAAGGGGACAAGACAGACTAACGGAGCTTTCAGTCTCATAAAAAAGTAGACATTGAATAAAAGTTGTCGGTAATGAATGTTTTGAAGAAAAGTTCAGAACAATTATGGAAGCCCTGAAAGGGAAGGTAATCTCATCTAGTTAGTTTGTCAGGGAGTGTTCTTTGAGGAAGATCCAAAGGGTGTTTATGGGTATATACTGGGTTACAGGAAACTAAAGGCATGTCCTTATCGCAGGTCTTCTCAAAGTGTGATGAGGTGCTAGAGGGCAGTGAGACTTTTTGAGGAGATGACTTGGTACCAACCAGGTGTCCTTGATCCTGAGGCCCTCTATTTTATGAAGCATCTTAGAGGGTGAGTGTTCCATAGCAGACTAGTTTAGAAAAGGCTTCCCTAGAAGATAAAGTCCAAAGTCTTTATCCTGGCCTTGGTGTTCCAACCACAGTTATTAACTTGACTCAAATAGCGTTGCCCTGCCCTGCCCATCCGCCTCATCTCCTGTCCACACCTCTCCTCCCTGCTTGCTGTTTACATGACCCCACACTGCTCTTCAAACACGTGGGTCCCCTCCCCCGACCTCTGTCACATCATTCTCCCCTCTCCAAGGTCCAATTTGAAATTCCAGCTGCAACCAAAATAACATTTTTTCCCTTTTGCTTTATTAGCTCATGGCTCTCATACTTTTTCAGTCCTCTAACTAACCCTTAGCTATCTGACTCTATTAGATGAAGCAGATATCGGAATCCAAAGACCTCGGTTCAAGTCCCAGCTTTGAATCCACTCCCTGTGCAACCCTCAGTGCTTGGCCTTTCTGAGTCTCAGCTGTCTCATCTGTAAAAACAGGAATACTGTTCCCTCAGAAGCTGAATTGGTTTTTCCTTTGAGAAGTGATAAAAAGGAGTGTGAATGTGGAGAAAAGCCACCCTCTTGGCAGAAACATTCTCTCTTGGTCTTTGAGCAAGCCCATCCAGGCTGTTCCAGAACCTTCCATGGCATCAGTCATCAGGCTTTGGTTGTTTCCCTCAACACTGCTTCTCTGTTCCCAATACATCCATCAAAGGAATGAATCAGAGAAGCTCCCAGTCACACAGGTGATTGGTGGGTTGGAAACGAGGCTGGGAGAGAGAGCATGGCTGGCCCGCCAGTGGGGGGCTGGGTGCCCTGGGAGGACGGATGCGAGTCCACGTGTGAGATTCAGCTGCGTATTGATCAAGCCCATTTGCACGTGAACCTCATCATCAGCTCCTGCTTAAGCCCTCACTTCCCCGGTAATTGACTCTCGCATATTGATTAAGATGTTGATGTGTCCCGGGATTTCTCCGTGGTGCTGCAGGCGCGCCTCCCGGCAGGCCGGGCTGGCAAGGCTCTCGCTGTACGGCTGTCACCGTGCGCTCCTTAATGGATAAAGCTGTCATCTGAGAGCTGGAATGTCTAGCAGGCACAAAGACGAAATTAACTGTTCAATAATGTATGGGACATGGAAAAAACTTTACCCAACAACTCGAATTGATTGCTGTAAGTGTTTTGACTGCACTTGCCTGCTTTGCATAAAGTCAGCGACTTTGGCTGTAGCCTGATTTTCGCGCACATCCATTTCTTGGCCTCTTTCAGAATAAGAGTTGAGAAACTTCAGCGGCTGCCAGGAATGGGCTGTCTGGGAGGAAGCGGGCTGGGAGGGTGGGGGAGTAGGTGGCACCACTGACGCCTCTCCCCTGAGGTCCTTGAGTGATCCTTGGTCTTTGAAACAATGTGTTACTGGCAGTTCAGTGGAGTCTTGCTGGAACGGATCATCTCGGGTGAGCTGGGTGAATCACTGGGTCTGGAATTCCTGGAGTTCTGTGACCTCACTTTGCCTGTGGCTTGCATTCCTCCCCCTGGGTGTCAGGCTGAGACCTCTTGCAGAGAGAGGCTGTCAGTCAGACCTATGGGAGGAGAGGGCCACTGGTCACATGTTTAACACCAGTTTGATAAACAATGTTCATACCCTTTAGATTGGACCTTGCTTAGTATTTGCGATTTAGTCAAACATGTGCCTCCAACACTCCCACAGGTACTAGAAATCACTGTCCTTTTCTCCCCCAGTTTGCTGCCTTTCGAACCTGGAAAGGGGGAAAAAATACCAAGGTAGCAAAGCTATACGCTACATCTTTTCTGCCAAGCTCAGCCCTTTAAAAACATAACAAGATCCTTTGAACATAGCTCTGTTTTATCACAGGATCTTTATTGAAGTTTTAATCAACACAAGCAGCTGACAAAATAGGAGATTGCGGATTCGGCTGTACATTATGTATCCTCCTTGTGAGTCTGGAAAAAAAAATCATAACATTAAAAGAAGAGAAAATAAACAGCCTCGTTTAAAAAACAAATGAATCCCACCAAACCGAGGAAATCCTCTCGCACCCAGAGGAAGGCCTGCCGTGTGGCGTGCCGACTGCAGCCCTGGAGTGTGGAGCCTCACGGAGATCATTACCATAAAACAAATAACCATCTCGTTTTTGTCACCCACTATGAGTGAACTCGAAACCTCAGGCCCGCGGCCAAAGATTCCTTCTCCGCAGGCCTTGCCAGCTTGGGATTAGGCTGACATGTCTACTAGCAGGGAAGGAGGGCACCAGCCCCAGCATCCCAGTCCCGATCCTGTCCTCAGTCCAGCCACGGTGCCGTGGCTCCGGGTCGCGATGCACATTGTGCCCCGTGGGCCCCTCTCCTCCCCATCGCCTCCGTTTCCCTTCCTTGTTTCCTTTCTTCCTTTTCTCAACAATGGGACAAACACATGAGAGGGTCTCCACTTAGTGTGCAAGGGAGCCCGGGAGGAGGAGGGAGGAATGCTTCTCTCTATCCTGAGCTCAGGTCCCTTTGTAAAGCCAGGCTGCTGTCTTGCACTCCAGGAAAGGCATCTCTGGGGCCTTTAAAACAAAATCCCCGCACAGGGATTTTGTTTTAAAGTGGTGCATGGAAGCTATTGAAGAGAGGGCCCCTGGCGGCTGAAGCCCAACTGGCAAGACTCCTGTTTTTCTGGCCAAAGCCAGCTCTCTCTTCTCTAAGGAAGGAAGACGATGCAATATCAGGGAGAGGGTGACACCCCCCCACCCTGCCCCAGCCACGGGAGGAGGCAGTATTCTCTTGTTTAGTCCAGAATTTGAATTTCAGCTCTGCCACTTAGGATGTCTGAGCCTGGCGCCTGATAAGGTTCTCTAAAGATGCATTGACAGAGGGAATGGATGGAGAGGAGGAGGATGGTGAGGATGTGGTCCAGATGGGGCACTCAAGCAAAGTGAGAAAGTATGGAAAGCTCAGCTAGGTGTAATCCCTTAGGAAGTTTTCTTGAAGCGATATTTTAGCTGCATTGTAAGATAATAGATGAATACCTATTGGCAGAGAAGCATTGGAAGACCCAAGGTAGGAGTAAGCAAGACGTGATAAGAGGATTGGCCCGAGAGTTGCAGGAAGTCTGAGAGTTGAACGGGGCCACAGGCAATGTTGAAGAGCCTTGAAGACCAGGTGGGCTGGGAGTGAGCATCTTATTCTTAAATAGAGAGTGGCAGGGTTTGCCCTTTTGAAATGATGACTGGGCCATCTTGGAGTGATAGTGAGTGGACTGGGGGAGCCTGGACACATGATCTGTTCAGGGTGGCCACCTGGTATGGGATATTACTGGTCAGAGCTAAGTTCTCCATATCAGATAAAGAAATCACACAATCTTGGCAGGTCTTGGGGTAAACAGCCATCCTGATCCTATCAGTATTGTGGTGGCATTCATGTAAGAGTTCCCATCTTGGCATAAAGACTTTGCAGGAATTGTCCCTTGAAGTTCTATTTCTGTGCATTTTATCGGTTTGCAACCAGATCCAGTGAACTGAAGCACTAGACCAAGACTCTTCCTGTCATCCTTCCCATCCCTTGCTTTTTCAGACACTTGTTCCATGCATGCTCTACCAGATGGTGGACACAAAGATGGAAAACACCAGGTCCCTCTTCCCAGGTATCTTCAGCCCACAGAAAATAGACAAACCAATACACAGACATGGCCAAAGTTCTGAGCAGGCCAGGAGGACAACACGACTAACTCAAGTGAAAAGCATAGTTCACAGAGGTTCATGACTCTCAATTGATCAAGTGCACATAGGAATTTGGCCTCTTTAAAAAAGTAAGAGAGTCTCCAAACCTTATTCATTTCAATGGGATGAGAGAAAGAGTGGGGGAAACTGGGGAAAATACACAGATGGGCATGGCTGGGTCTTGTCTTAGCCCATTCAGGTTGCTATAACAAAATATCTTAGCCCGGGTAATTTACAAATAATAGAAATTTATTTCTAACAGTTCTAGAGGATGGGAAGTCCAAGATCAAGGCACCAGTAGGTCCAGTGTCCTCACATTGTGGAAGGGACAGAAGGAACAGGAGGGGTGAACTCATTCCTTCAAGCCCCTTCTATAAGGATAATAATTCCATTCACAAGAGATAATCACTTCCGAAAGGTCCTACCTCTTAATACTATCGCGTTGGGAATTAAGTTTCAATGTGAAATTTGGAGGGATACAAACATTCAAACCATAGCAGATCTGTCCAGGAACTTGATTTGGTAGAAAAACTAGCCTAGCCCAGCAACAGCAGCACATGCAAGCACTCAGGCTTTCGAGAGACCACTTCAGAGTCAATGCAGAGGTAGAGGATTCTTGGAAAGACTTCACAATTATTCTGGTCACCTTTAACTTCCAGATTTCCCTGGGATACAGAGAGTACTTGCCCATCAGCCTTAGGGAAGAGAAGTAAATTAGGTCAGAACTGCAATTTATTCTCATAGGTAACGTGGGGAGGGCGTTGTCCCAGAGCTTGGGTAACCAACAGCCAGCACCCCCCAATCTGTCTCAGGGCAATTACATTAAGTGATTTGAAGTGGTGAGAATGGAAATGATTTATTCTGAGAACCTTGTCAGTACTGCTGTTAAATCATTTGTATTTCATTATGGAACACGAGTGGGCTAGACATTCCCCAAACTACATTCCTTTGCTTTGGTCCCCTGTGCCATTTCCACAACTGGTTATTTCCGGTGACAATTAACAGGAAATGATGGTAACAGCCCCAGGGTGGTCACTTTGCTGAGGGACTCTGGGTATTAAGTTTCAATTACTTATAGTCTCTCATCTAAGTCTCCAACAGGAAATGACCTGCTTCTGTAGTTGTCACAGGAAAGCAGTTACTTTTTTTCTCCTTACTGTCTCCATTTTAGCGGTCAAGTTTTAGGAAGTTAAACTAAGAGTTAAACCAAAGGTTGTCTGGGGTCTCATCTGTAAGAAACATGTCTATTTCTTCCACAGTCCAGACTCTAAAAGACAAAGTCAGAAATGGAAAGAATAAGAAGCAAATAATAAAGCCAAACAAATAGCATTTATTCGCCTTTTTCCTTTCAAGAGCCTAACCCCATGTTATTGAGACTGCTCCAGGCAGGATCCCCAAGTAGAAATACAACGTCCCCAGAATTTCTGCCCTTGTGGTCTATGTGTGCATTCATTCTCCTCTGAGGAGATTTGTTTCGGGTCCACAGAATAGGATGCGCTGGTTTCCAGGGCAAGGTGGCATACAGGGGTCCCGTCCAGACAGGCAGAGCATGCAGTGCTTTCTGCTGATCGTGGCCATCGTGGCTATCGGGGTGCTTTTCTGCTGCTTCGGCAAAGACAGCAAGCAGTGTCTGTTTGAAGTCTGGTCTTTGGGAAGAAGACCCAAGAGAACATGAGCAGGGCTTGTCTGGATATCAAAGTCCAAATTAAAAATTTATTCCAGTGTTTGAAAAATTCCTGGCAAAAACCTTCATATGGATTTAAAAACTACAAACTCCCTGATTTCTGCAGTGTCTCCAATTGAGGACTAGAGGATTTATTTCCAGAAAGAAAAAATGAAAGCTAGACCAAATAGTTCCATAAATGGACTCAGGTCAGACGGCTTCTTAGCTAAATCTAAGAAGAGTAACCTGTTAAACCACTCTGGGTATGCAGGAAGCCCTGGTTTTAGTTATCATATTTGAATCTTCATTTTCCCCTCTCCTAGCACATGTCAGATCACCTGGCTCTTTACTGCTGGAGCTGGAAAGTGAAGAAGGAGAAAGAGCTGCTATTCCACAACCCAAGCCCCATCCCATTATACAGAAAAGTAGAGAAGAAAGCTTTTTTGTGTGTTTTTAAAGTTGTGGGTTTGGGAGGGGAAAAAAGGTTGCCAAGCAAATAATCTAATAGCAATTATGCAATTATTGATAACAAGAACATAAAAATCATTAGAAAAAAACAGGAAAAAATAGATAAGGAAGGAGTGAAAATTTAAGCAATATAGTCAAATCAAGGCCAGTAACAAAATTTACAGAAGAAATAGAACTAACCTGATATGGGGCATTATTAGTGAAATATTGAAACAGAAGTTGAGAATGATAAATCAGCTCCAAGGGCAAAACAATTAGATGAAGGATCAAGGTGAATATACCAAGTTTAGATTAAAAGCAAAGGGCTGAATAGAAGAAAGTGATAGAACCATGTCAGCACACAGAAGCAATGGAAACTATGCATAGAGACAGCACCAGAACCACAAAGACATAAAGCAACCTGCAAAAAATAAATGCTAAGTCTCCACTGAAGTTATACAAATCTTCTGGTCCAGGGTTTTTGCTCTTGTTTTGGTAAACTTTGTGATTTTAAGTATAACTCATATACCTAACTGTGCATTAGTGCACAGTTTGATGAATGTGCAGAGTGAACACAGCCGTGTGATCACCATTAGGAGCTGGCCATGGAGTATTGTCACTACCCAAAAGCTACCCTCATTATGTCCACTCTCCAACAGTGACCTCTCTTAAGGCAGCCATCAGCATAGATTAATTGTGCCTGTTTTTGAAGGTCACATAGAGTCATACAATACTTTTCATTTCTTTTTACTTCTTCTTTCATTTGACAAATTTATAACTCTTATCCACAATTTTGCATGTTGTGGTAGTTTGTTCATTCTCATTGATATATAATATTGCATTGTATATATACCATAATTTACACCATTCTACTATTGATAGACATTTGTGTTGCTTCCAGCCTTTGGCTACTAACAACGGTATTGCTTTGTACATTCTTGTGCATGTCTTTTGGTGCCCTCATTCATGCATTTCTGTGAATATGTATCTATGAGAATTATTGGGTCATAGAGTGCGTATGTTAGCTTTAGTAGATACCACAAAACCAGTTTTTCAAAGCAGATGCATCTGGTTATGTTCCTGTTAACAGGACGTAAGACTTCCTGTTGCTTCACATCCACACTAATACTCAGCAT